CCACAGTTAATATTTTTTAGTACTTTTCAAATATATTCCCTATTGTTTTTTGGTCCACCTTTCCCCCACTTAAAACTTAAATTCTGAAGTCAAGCTTATAATGAAAAATTACCACTTGATGTTGAATGGTTAAAATCCCCTCATACACAGGGAAGTTTTTGTGTGAGCGAAAGCTTACTAAACATACTGTGGTTATCATTATTTTTTCATTTCAGTTGGAGCCCCTAACATTCTTACTTTTTGGATCTGCTTGCTGGATAATTGTTATGCCAAGTCATAACTTCATTTAAAGAGCTAAGCTAGGACTAGCAGTGGGGGGAAGGAAAGAAGAAATCTTTTTTTGCCTTCTTGTCTATCAGCACTAATCCTCTGAAAAGTACCCTTTCAATCAAGGGATCCAAGAGAAGCTCAATTGCCTCAGCAAATGGAATACTGAAAGGTACAGTTAAAAAGGTTCCTACTGTGAGTGAAAAATGAAAATAATGGTGTGACCTATGGAGACACTGCAAACCTGGGAACACACAGGGCCTCTTGTCTGTATCAGGTCCGAGATATGCAGGCATCTCTGTCAAATTAAAAAGCCAAGGAAGTGGACGGCTTGGGCTTCCTGCTGGTGGGGACAAGAACTGGAAATATTTTATTGCAAAGTGACTGAGACCCTGTTAGAAGTTTAACACTTAGCAGGCAGGCAGCAACCGCTTAGAGAAAACAGAACGAGATTTTCTCCATTGGGCTCCTCCAGTCTTGACAAGGGTGACAACTATATTTTTTAAATAGTGTGATGGATTCAAATGGCTCTGGAAAGTTTTATCTTAAAAATAAAATGGTGGAACTGTCCCCTGTGAAAAATGGCTGGGGAAATAAATACATTACCAGAATGGTATAGAAATGCATCAGAAACTGCCTATAGATTGCCCAAAGAAAACAGAACCAATTTTCTGAGAAGATTGAATAGAAATATTGAATGGACCCAGCTTCATTTAATACCCACAGAGTTCATGTGAAAATGTAATTAAGAAGACTGGGGATGGAGAACAAAAAAAGATAAGAGACACAAAATGGACCTTTACAGCTTCTTTGGAAGGTCACAGTCCACTTTTTATAGCATGATGTCAAGCACAAGGTGAAAGTGGGTTTTCAAAGACTCGGCTCTACTCCAAAGGTCTCTCTTTAATGTTGCTTGCAAAATTTATACTGAAGGCAGATTTATGAACATTGTTGGAGAACAGGTATTCCTCTTCTTGTTCATAGAGAAGAGGTTTATTATTTTGGTCCAGTTGCTAAGCAAAATTAAGTCTGAGTTTGGGCTGTAAATTTTCAACTGTATCTATATTAGCTTTATGTTTATTCTGAAATGGCGAGCCTTCTGATTTCAAATCTGAGAATGCCAGGGTCATATAAGATTTTTATCACCTCCGAGGTCTTGTCCAGGCCATATGGAAGTTTTACCTAGGCAATTCCAAAATAATATGGCTAATCATTATTTGATGAGAAAAACAGTGTATCAAGACTGAGAAGAGTCAAACTACCTGAGTTTCAAATTTGGCTTTTTCACTTACTAATGTTGACACCTTGGACAAGTCAGTCATCTCCCTGAGCCCCAGATACTCCATCTGTAAAATGAAGATAATAACAGTTCCTACTTCATAGGGATATGATAAAAATTAAATGAGATAATGCATGTAAAGTGTTTAGCACACCACTAACATACAGGAAGAAAAATCAACCCTTACCATCTTGCAGACAGTTAAGACAACATCCTAGAGCTTAGTGTTGTTAGACTGAGCATGCAATGGCTGTATTTCATTTCTTCATATCCTAACTTCTGCATTTTCCTTGCCCCTGTTTTTCTAGGCCCTCCCCAGCTTCTCCATATTTGTTAAGTAGTCTCCCCCTAATCAGCACAGAAGGTTCTGATCAATACCAAATCTTTTTAAAGAGTTACCTGCTTTATTCTGCATCTTTACGCATTAAGTATTTCTCCACCTGAGTTTGAGTATTAATGCCCCACAGATCTTAATAGACAGAAGAAGAAAGAATGGTACAAAGAGAGGAAATGAACTAGCAGAGGAGCTGGAGAACAGAGACAAAGCAAAGAAAGAAACAGAAAGACTTGTGAGAGCTGGTGAACTCAGTTGGTGATTCAGCTTGTCTTAGCTACAGAACGTTTTCCCCAACGTTGTTCCAACTGGAGCATTGGTCCCCTGAGATGACTAGCAAACAGTTTATTAATCAAAGAGAGTTTGTCCAAAATATTCCACACCACACTTTCCTCTAGGAGAGTCTCAATGCGTGTTAGTACAATAAAGATGCCAAGAAGTACTGCAGTAAAAAAACAAAAACAGAAACAAAAACCACACACACGCACACACACAAAAACCATTTTACTTTGTTTCATCTCATAAGACTGATCAATACTTAACACTAATCAATAACATTTTTGGGAAACATTTCACTACCATTATTTTACAACTGGGTTGCAGGAATACCCATAAATAAAGAACAAATTTTGGAGAATTAATGAACCAAAACTGATGGGCAGAAAAGTGGGACTAACATTTAGTGAGTGCCTATTATGTGTGCCAGAAATTGTACTGTTTTAAAAATATTTGCTCATTCCCAGTAGGTTAACGTAATGGTTTTTAAGTGGTAGGGTTGATAAAAGTGCTTTATGAAAGAACATCTTGGCACATATTAGTTTTCCTTACGTGGGGACACAATAGCTCTTTAAAAATGGAAAGATCTTGAGAACTCACGTAGCCCGTATCTATGCTTAAGAGTGTTGCTTTTGCATGCACTGAGAAATTGCAGATTTTGGAGTCTATCCTCAGTTCCCTGGAAGGTAGCATGAGACAAAGACCTGTGAACTAGTCCTGGTACTGCCACTTACTGGATATGTAACCTTGAGTAGCATACTCTTCTGAACCTATGTCAATACTAGAAAAAATAATATCTAATTTAAGGATTTTTGAGGATTATAGTTATAAGCCACAATTTTACATAACTGATACTTCAAATAATTCAAATTTCTTACTCTAAGTTTTATATTCCTGTATTCATTGATCAAAATGTTTTTCTCTTGCACCTAAAACTATAACAGTTCCCATGGACACAAAATATGTGTACAATTTGTATCTTAACACCTGCTAATTGTTATTTAAAATACTACTGTATTGAGTGTGTGTGTGTGTGTGTGTGTGTGTGTGTGTGTCTGGAGTTCAGTGACATGATCACAGTTCACTGCAGCCTCGACTTCCTGGTCTCAAGCGATCCTCCCACCTCAGCCCCACCAAGTAGCTGAAACTACAAGCATGCGCCACTATGCCCATATGTCCACTATTTGTATTTTTTGTAGAGACAGAATTTTGCCATATTGCCCAGGGGGTCTCAAATTCCTGGGCTCAAGTGATCTGCTTGCCTTGGCCTCCCAAAGTGCTGGGATTACAGGCGACCGCACAAACCATTTTATTCTTTCTTTATATTCCCCAAGGCATCTGTCTTAGCATAGTGCTGGGTACATAGTAATACCATAGTAGTTACTTTGTGAAATGAATGAATGGAAAAATTAATGGCAAATTGCACTAAAATTGTACTTATTTTACACAGCGTAATATAACAAATGTAACTTAATAATAGGATACTTTGTACTGGTAGAACAAGGCAGGATGGAGTCAGACTGAGACTTCTGAAATCTTGTGCTAAATTTTCCAAGCTTAACAAGTAGCCTATGCCTGTCACTCAACCTCAGCTTATGTGAATAACAGAAGATTCACTAACAAGACAGCCATGTTAGAGATAATCATTCTTTTATGACAGTGGGTCTGACTTCAGGACTTTTGCAAGAAACTTGAATTTCCCTTCAAATAAATGGAATGTAAATATGCTTGGTTTACTCCGACTCATATTTTAATTCTGTTTAATGTTTTTCCACCCTCATGCAACAAAAAGTAAAAAAGCTACCTCTTTTCATTTTCTGAAAGGTCTATATACCATTAAGAGTGAAGCCTTGAGAGGTGAAACTGATATCACGAAGGAGGAAATACAGAACAATAACAGCTATTCATTTTGTGAAGGGTAACAGAACTTCATTTTATTAGGTTGGTGCAAAGGTAATTACTTTTAGTGGCAAAAACTGCAATTACCTTTGTACGAACCTAATAGCTCTACGTGTAGGCAGACACAAAAACAACAGTCATAAGACATGTGATTTCTCTTCATTTCTTGTACACATTTACCCACATTGACAGTGAGACTGAATTGTGGGAAAGATATGTTTTTATACTTAAATGAATAAACATTGGACAAAATGCGTTCAAGATTTAAAACTGTTGTTCATTGTATAGGGGGTATATTTTTAGGTGGAGTTCATAGAAATGGAAGTGACCTGTATTCAGGTCAGCTGGGAGCTCTGCCAGTCACTCATCCCAACTTCCTGCCTCTTTCTACTCTCCCTTTTTAGCCTCTTTCTGTGTCTTTTCCCCACTACATCTACATGACACTCAAACCTGTAGTGAAGCATTTACCACTACAGTATTTACTGCACTTTCATGATTTGAAAATCGAATGGCAGATTTCTGATATACTCAACATATCTAAATATTCTCTGAATCTTATCAGAAATTATAAAAAGGGGTGTCTCTGTCAGTTTGAGTTTCTATAACAAAGTAACATAGACTGAATGACTTGTCTACAATAGATATTTTTGTCTCATTGTCCTGGGTGTGGGAAGTTCCAGATCAGGGTACCAGCACGGTAGAGTTGTGGGGAAAACCCTCTTCTGGGTTGCAGGCTGCCAACTTACCGTATCCTCACATGGTGGAAGGGGCAAGGTAGCCCTCTCAATCCTCTTTCATGAGGTCACTCATCTCCCAGAGCCCTACTTCCTAATGTCGTCACCTTGGGGATTAGATTTCAGCAGAGGAATTTGCGGGGGACACAAGCATTCAGTCCATAACCGGGGAGATGTGTAAAATAAACTTAGTAAGAATGATCTGTTGCAGGAATGGAATTCTGCTGTTGAGAAGCTGAAGAGTGGGGCACTGAGAATTCTGCTGTCAAAGGACTACGCGGAGAAAGAACACCTCCAGCTCTCTCACCAGAAACTGAGTCAGCTTCAAGAAGAATTTGGTCAACTCATGGTGGAAAGGAATACCTGGTTAAAGAAGGCAAATGAATTTTTTAACAGTGCTAACAAGGTCAGTGTGAGATCAAGTTGATAATTTTCGGTAATCAGGGAGACCAGTAAAAGAACCATTACTTCAACCAGCTGGAGCACATCACAGAAGTCAAAACTCCATGTAAAATTTCAAAACTGATAGCAGCAAAGAAGAGTTTTTAACATATATTCCTATTATGGCCATTATTTGGTTCTCAAAACTAGAAGACTGTTTTCCCATGTAAAAGGTGACTTTAAAAACAGCAAACACACCTCATGAGGGTTTTTTGTTTTTTTGTTTGGTTTGGTTTGGTTTGGTTGTTGGATGGTGTTTGTTGTTGTTTTGAGAAAGGGCCCGGCTCTGTCACCCTGGCTGGAGTGTAGTGGCGTGATCATAGCTTACTGCAGCCTCGACCTCCCAGACTCCAGTGATTCTCCCATCTCAGCCTCCCACGTAGCTGGAATCACAGGCACATGCCACCATGCCTCACTTTTTTTTTTTGTAGAGACAGGGTCTCACTATGTTGTGCAGGCTGTCCTCAAACTCCTGGGCTCAAGTGATCCTCCTACCTCGGCCTCCCAAAGTGCTGAAATTATAAGTGTGAGCCACCATGCCTAGCCTCATGAGGGTTTTATCTTACAGCTGCCACTGGTCTGTTTGGGGGGGACACTTGTGCCCACATTATTGTGTTTCCCATGGAGGAAGAGAATTATCATAAATATATCAAGGTTTAAAAATACCTTAAAATTTTTACCGAAGGCCCTCCTTTTTTTCATCCTCTTTTATTTACCAAGTAAAAAATATATGAATATTGCAAGTCTTTTTGCACACAAGCCATAAGGCTAGAAACAGTGCCTCAGCCTGATTGTTCCACCTTGATCTTGCCATTTTAAGTCAGCCAGAGTGAAATCTGGCTGTGGACCATCTCCAGGTCTTCTTGAGTTGGAGAAGTGCTCTGCTTCTCCTCTCGGATTCACTGGACGTTCATTGCAGCAGCTGGTTCCTGCTAAGTGGCAGTGTTCACCTGTTCACATCACTTGAGTATGGCTCAGTATATGAGGCTGGGGAATCTTATTTGAAATTTTTTTCTACCTTTTCCAATGTAATATACACCTTCAAATGGTGTTTTTGGAATTCTTTCATACCTTAAATTTCACTGATGTTTTCAAAACAGACAATGTGGCAGGAAATGAAAGAGGAAACCCTAGAAGCTGGGTACGTTGTGATCTAAAATCGTATCATCAACACCCTGAATACAATGTCCTGTTGCTTATCAAAATATTGACTTAATTTTGAACTTCTTTACTAACAAAAACTTTCTGAAAAAAAATACTAAAATTTCAAAACAGAAGTGCTAAATTGTGGTAAAATGTTAAAGAAAGATTTATTGTCAGATTATTTGTCATTTGGGATTTCTTTGTTTTAAGAGAGGAAACAGACATACCATATTACTGGAGCTATTGAACTAATTCGATGTTAAGTGCTAATTAAGTTTCTCCTCAGTAATTCTGTTTTTGAATAAGAGACTTTTAAATTTAAACTGCAGGTTCATTTTTCAAAATGAGTGGGTCATCTACAAGTCAGTTAATATTGTTTCTAAGGAAAACAGTTATCAAACATATTGCTATAAAACAATGCTTCCAGTTCAAACCCTATAGTTTACAGCGTTGCAAAATGTACTTTCTCTCTTTCATTCCCATTCTCTTACTCTGGTTTTCTCTGCTCTCATTATTTTGTACTTTGCTGTTATATCTTTCTGGGTTTTAACAGAGAAGGAATATTCCCTCCAAAAGTCTTTTTTTTAAAAAAAAAAAAAGAAGAAGAAGAAGAAGAGAGTGGTTACTTTCTCAGACTCATACAGTAATTCAGGTCAGACTGGAGAAGAGAATGTATGTTTCTTAATCACAAAGACTTTTGATTTCTAGATTCCCCATTTTATCATTTGAAAGCCATGGCATGCTAACTATACAAATTATAATAAGCTCCACTGGGATTTATCCATACTATAGCAGGTTCTAGAGCCAAGTGGTGCTCAGAATAGTGTCAGAATCCTTTCTCCCTTTTCAAAGCATCAAGGAAATAATTTCTGACTCCAAATCTAAGAACGCAATGTGAAAGATGATGGATATTTCTACCTCAGCAAAAATAGAAGCTGGAGTTTGGAATGTAGATGTTTAATCATGACTGTTGAATGAATTTTTTACTGTGTTATTAAGTAAAATAACTATATTATTTATACTATATAATTAAGTAAAATAAATGATGAAATTATGTAGTGTAAATCTACTTAAAGAAGAAAACTCTTCTCGTGGCTTATAAATGGTATTTTTTTAAAATTTATATTGTAAAACCTCCAAATTTTACAAAAATTTGACCACTTTACCCAATTCTTAGCGTGATACTTATAGCCCTAGTTTAAATAAAGAACTGAAGTTTTAAAATTAATATAATTTCAAAATCCCTTAAAATGTTTTTTTCTAGAATAAAATTCTGTTGACACTAGTGAAAAGGTATTCAGTTTATATAATCAATTATCTCCGAAACACTGAATTTTCCTTTTGAAAATTCACTTTGTTGTGCCTTGAGTGCACTGGGATTTCCTCATTGTGAACATTCCTGTTCTTAGATGAAGTCATGCTCTCAAGAACTGTGAGGGGTTTGAGATCTTACCCTCCGTTCCAGCTAACATGTTAACTTATCACAGTTTCATGGATGACTACAGAAGACACCTGACCTCTGGGTCAGAGGTGATTGATTATAGCAAAGCAGCAGCCAGAGTGTCAGCATACCACATCAATTCTCCCAGCTCCAGTTCCCCAGAGTGATGCAGACAGGCCCTGATGGATGTATGCACCTGCAGCAGGTGGGGTTCAGGAGAGGAACCCTAAGCTTGGAGAATCTGTAGTTTTACAGCAAATAGGAAGCAAGCCTGCTCTTTGTCTTGGAGGGCAACATCACCTCAATCCTGAAGGTTGCTAGTTTCAGACCCAACACTGAGAAATGGCCCAGATATAAAGGGGTCAGGGTCTTGTATTCTTGACCTACCTGTGAGATGTGTAGGAGCACAAGAGATCCATGAAGAACTTTCTCTCCCAGCACATGCGAATCTGGATGTTAGCACTGCAGGAATAGAAGATGAAGTCAGCACTTTACAAAAAGATACTTTCCTTGAAAATCAATTTCATTCTTGAAAAGTGGAATTATTTTTCAGCAAACAATTTCTTGTTCCAAATTCGTTGAAGCTAGGTCAATATACTTTTTCAATTTCTATGTCAAATACTAGTCAAATTTGTTAGTATCACACGCAATATATAAATGAGTGAGTGGGATAACTTGAATATCTGCTTGGTAAAAAGTGAAATACATGATTTTTTAAATATACTTTTTACTTTTTTGAATTTTGTTAAAATAAAGAGAATAAATATCCAATTTTATCTGCAGAATAGACTGTTAGTAATTTTCTCCTATCATATATATTTTTTCATCCAGATTTTTATCATATTTCTGGTTAAAATCATTGAGGAGTCCCTCTTCCCCCTTTTCCTTCATTTTCTTTCTTTCTGTTTTTTTCAGGGGGTGGGGACAGGGTTTCACTGTCACCAAGGCTGAAGTGCAGTGGCATGATCACAGCTCACTGTAGCCTTGACCTCCGGGGCTCAGGTAATCCTCCCACCTCAGCCTCCCAGGCAACTGGGTTGCCACCACACCAGCCTAATTTTTTGTATTTTTTGTATTTTTTGCCATGTTTCCCAGGCTTGTCTTGAGCTCCTGGGCTCAAAGGATGCACCCTGCTTGGCCTCCCAAAGTGCTGGGATTATAGGTGTGAGCTACCACACCCTACCTCTTTTCATTTTCATTCATTCCCCTCTCTAACAATTCTAGATAGGGATATTATTATTTACTAGAAATATTTCACAATAATTTATTTTATTATTTAAAGGGGAATTCATGAGAATAATTACCCTTCTCCTTAGATATTCACTTATTTAGTATATATTTATTGAGTCACTGCTATGTGTCAGGCATTGTTCTAAATGCTGGAAAATAAATAGCAGAGAACAAAACTTACAAAATTTGTGAAATTCAGTAAAATATAATCATCACTTAATTGCCCACATTGCCAACAGTTCCCCCACTGCCTTTGTCCAGTGGCTCCAGGAGTGCAATTGATTACCTTTAGTTCTACTAGGGTTTGGTGAGTACCCAAGGTTCAGGAATGTTTCTCACCCAGAGGAAGTGTCTGGTAGCCTTTGACTGGAGATACGAATGTTTGGACCTGGAATGAGCAGCAGGTGGCGATGTTGAGACGGCATTAGGAACATCACTACCGGCTGCTTGCTGTAAACCAACCACTGGATTCAAGTGGAGTGAGCCGTATAACTCAAGAATCTGAATACTTCCTATTCTTTTTAGAGTTTCCTAACGTGTTTGGTGAATGAACCTATTTGTTAAGTCACTTAGCAGAATATACAAGTAAGTGTCAGTTGTTGACATTGACTAATAGCTGATTGGAGAAGAGTTCCTCTAATTATCAGATGTTGCTAAGACTTATGAGAACATGGCACGACATATGAATTTAGCACCTATTAGAATAACTCATCTCGATCCTCCAAATTATTCATCCTTCGAGATTATATATTATCTTATTTATTATACTTCCAGTGTGTTCACAGAAAACAAGCTATGGTTAATATTTATTGATCACCCCAAATGTAATTGTCATTGTTAAGGGAATGTAGTTTAAATCTGAGATAAATATATCATATGTTTCAAAAACAGAATGGGGTGAGCCTGTTTTTACAGGACTGCTGCAATTCAACCCAAAACTGTAAAACGTGACTGACTGGTCATAGTGTATCATGTCCTATGCCTTCCATTCCCAGGTGTGTGATTTCATTGAAGAAAGCAAGCAGAGGAAACTGAGGACAAATCCATTTTATGAACATGGTCTGATTTTTGGGTGGTCAGTCTGAAAGCAAAGATGAAGCAAAAGTTGGGGTGGCCAAAGAAACACACAAAAAGTAGTTTGAAATGTAACAATTGTCATAGCTTCCTTTGTTTCTGCCATAGCTATTGAAACATTAATGTCCTTTAAGAAGATGATATTGTTTTTCAAGATATTTACAGTGATGCACAGTAATGCTTATAGCAACATCACTGTTTCAGATGCAAACAGAATAAATAAGAATGGAATTTGGTACGCTTTTTTTCCTATATATATATATGTGAGATATAAGTGATCTTACTGTTTTCAAAATAAACACATTTTAGGCCCAGCTGACGAAAACAATCAAAATGGTCCAGTTTTTGTATAGATTGAAATTTTTAAAAACCTGCCCAAGTAGAGTACCTAAAAATATTATCCAGAAGGAATTTATTGAGGTGATATAAACGAATTCAAGAAATAGGCTACATGTTATTAGGTATGAAGGAAAATGTTATTACTTTCAGTTTTATAATTCCTCAGCAGCCTGTCTTAAATTCCTCTTTTTCAGAACAACTCTCCTTTCTCTTAGAAATAACTAAAGCCTCTTATATTCCCTCCCTCTCTTCTTCCATATTTGCATTCAGCTAATATGTTGTGTTCCTATTCTTGCCATGCATCAGATGGGTACTTGAGCAAAAGCAATGAAAGATATAATCCCTGCTTTCCAGACATTCTCAGTCAAGTTTAGACAAGACGCAAGGGAACAGAAGTGTGCTGGGTTGTGGGAAAGCTATGATGGAGTAAGCCCAAAGCATTAGGGCACACAGAGCGGAGACCCTTAACCTGGCCCAGGGAAAAAGAGTCAAGGAAGGCTCCCCAGAGGAGGTGACCACTGAACTAAGTTTTTCTTCTTTCTTTCTTTCTTTCTTTCTTTCTTTCTTTCTTTCTTTCTTTTCTTTCTTTCTTTCTTTCTTTCTCTCTTTCTTTCTTTCTTCTTTCTTTCTTTCTCTCTTTCTTTCTTTTCTTTCTCTCTTTCTTTCTCTTTCTTTCTCTTTCTTTCTTTCTTTCTCTCTTTCTTTCTTTCTCTCTTTCTTTCTTTCTCTCTTTCTTTCTCTTTCTTTCTCTCTTTCTTTCTTTCTCTCTTTCTCTCTTTCTTTCTTTCTTTCTTTCTTTCTCTCTCTCTCTCTCTTTCTTTCTTTCTTTCTATCTGTCTGTCTGTCTGTCTGTCTTTCTTTCTTTCTTGACGGAGTCTTGCTCTGTCGCCCAGGCTGGAGTGCAGTGGCGCAATCTCGGCTCACTGCAACCTCTGCCTCTCGGGTTCACGCCATTCTCCTGCCTCAGCCTCCGAGTAGCTGGGACTACAGGCACCCACCCCCATGCCCGGCTAATTTTTGGTATTTTTAGTAGAGATGGGGTTTCACCGTGTTAGCCAGGATGGTTTCGATCTCCTGACCTCATGATCCACCTGCCTCAGCCTCCCAAAGTGTTGGGATTACAGCCGTGAGCCACTGTGCCCGGCCTGAAATAAGTTTTAAAGGATGGGGCAAGAAGGGTCAAGGAAGGGCTGGATGGTACAATGTCATGCCATGTTTGGGGAACCTAAGATAATTCAATTTGCCAGGAGTATAGTATGTAAACCTAAAGTGATGAGAGACGAAGGTGGTAGAAGCAGGTGGGGAGATCAGGAAGGGTTTTGAATAGCATGCAAAGGAGTTTCTATTTTATGCTGAACGTGTCTTTAAATATGCAGAGATATTTAAGAATTGAAAAAGCCATGATGATGCAAACCTCACCACAAGAAGCAGATGATGTCTTAATTTACCTTCTTCCTGTACTCTCTCTGGGAGAACGATGACTGTTGGGTTTAGAAACCTTTGATTTTAGAGCTCAGAGGTCAGGCTATTTAAACCACAGCAAGCATTTGATAAGTATGGCTGTTATTAGCATACAATTATGAAAATGGAGATATCATAGAAAAATTATAGAAAAAGAAACACCTTTAACATCTTAAGTGTCTTATGAGGGCTCACAACTCAGTTCATATCTCATAGTCTGATAATCAAGCTGTTCAATTTTATTGTCCTCACTCATGAATACCTTTCACATCTAAGCTGTCAATGAATTTCTAAGTTAAGAGTGTATTAATTGGTTTCTCTTCTATGTGCAATATCAGATTGTTGCATCTCTCTGTTGGCAGTAAACACATTCTGCTTAGTATTACAGTTATTTCTGGGTAGATTTCTTTGGCTAAATTAAAATTTCTTGAGGGTAAGAAACATGTTCTTTTCACTTTGTGTTCACCAGAACACCTAGAACACTGACTTCTAGTTAGTGGAGTTAGTTCTATATTTTTCTTCCTAATTCTCATACTAACTAGAGCAGACTAAGAGCGGTGAAATATTATAAACTCTAGAGTTTCAAGGCCAACTACATGAAATTGTTCATTGGAGATTATATTGATCCAAGGTACTTGGGACTTGACCATTTTGAAAGAAGATAACTTAATTACTTTAATATACAAGGAACACAAATTTTAAGCTTCATCTCTGCATCGTATCTGAGAAGGCAGGTCATGCTGTGTAAAGGGCTTGTCATCTACACACAGTGCCTCCTCTGAGACATCTCCAGGCAGCACTAATTGCTCATTTTGTATCATTTCCATAATATTTCTCTGTACGCCTTAGAGAGAGATTATGTCCTGATCTTTGTGTGTCACATATGTTCAAAAAACTTTTGTCGGATGAATGAATAAATGACTGGCCATGTGACAAATCAATTTACATTTTGAGCTTGAGTTTTCTCCTTTCTAAAATCAGTCTAATAATCCTTATCTACTTCAGAGAGTCTCATTCAATAATAAAAGTTCTTATAATGGGTGATAAATAGTACACAATTTTTTTGGATAGAGTTGGAGTGTAAAATAAATGGAATTGTAGGGTATTAAGTGAAAATTAGAAATGTTTGCTAGCATGACACTTTGCCAAAATAACAGTAGATTTTGGAGCCCGGATGCCTATGTATGAATCTGATCTTGGACATTTATTAGCTGTATGACCTTGGGCAGTCGCTTAACCTCCCTGTGCATCTGGCTTTTTTAACCTGTAAAATAGAAGTACTATTGGTACCTTATAAGGACATTGTGCTAAGTAAGTTAATACATGGCTGCAGCACAGGACTGCTAAGCACTCACTAA